CAAAAGAAAGTTTGAAAATAAAAGTTTTGTATAATGTGTGCCACATTGATGTTTTGTGTACTCGTAGATGCACGTTGGCGTAATTACTATAAGCCATAGCTTGTTATGCACATAATTTATTCTGAACATTTTATACGCTGCTCCTCGGCGGTGCGCGCGCGCGCCATGTTGCGACGTTTTCAGTTTTAAATGAAATACGTGCTCGTTATTACGGTTTTTCCCCGGCTGGCGTTGTGCAAGAAGTCGTCAGACGGCATAAAATGTTGGTCATTAATTTTTGTGTCTCTGTTTAGATTGTTTTTAATAGACAACGTTACGATAAGTAGCAGGATAACGAGTAAAATGTTGAAAAACATTACTTTTCGGGATTATACAAATGGAAAATTTACTTCTGACTTGCGTACGAGCAATAGAATGTTTGTTCATGCCACAGGGTACAGAATTAACGAGATAAAGTACAAATTTGTTTTGGTTTGTTGTTAGATAAACTGCTAAATAAGTCGTGTTTGTAAATAGTGTTTTTGGAATTAAAAATAAAACAAGTTTTTGAATTTTTGAAGTGAAAAGTGGTCTAAAATAGTAAATGATTCAATTTTACACTCACATAACCTACAAAATAGTAGTTATTCCGTTTTAATTAATAAATAATGCACTTTTAGTTCAGGAAACATCTGTTTTGTATAACAAATTTGCATAAAATAAAGTTTTACTCATTTTGAGCAATAAAAAACGACTTTAAATGCAAAATTACAACAAAAAATTGTACATAACCTAAAAAAGTCCACAAAATATTATTTTTTTGATAAAAATTGGCATAAACTCGACTCTAAGTAATAAAAAATGGCGTAAAATAAATAATTACACCATTAAACAGTTAGATAACATCCAAAATTTTACTTATTATAACACAATCATCATTTTTCTGGTTTTAACCAATAAAAAACAACGTAAAACACAAAATAAACCACTTTTGAGGTTATATAACCTCTAAAACATCCCTTTTAACGTTATAATTACCATTTAAACTTGCTACGCGAAAAAATACCATTCCTACTGCCCAAAGTTCCACAATTTCTATAATCACAAGATATGATATCGCAGGTTTTGTATTTTTTTCGGCCGCTTGTTTTATTGCTTGGGGAATTAATCTTTAAACAGAAGATTGCGTTGAGAGCTGGGCGGGCGTGGCGCGGTTTTGACCCCGCCGCCGGAAACACCTCACTAACGTGTAGTTAAAGCGAAACCGGGCGCAACGAAGGTGTAACCACGGCAAAAAGCTGCCGAAATGCGCTTGTGGCCGGTAGTCAGATAGCACCGCAGGGATTCGCGAAAAATCCGAGCTTTTTATTATCGCCATGCATCTCGTAGTCTTCTCGGCCGGCCGGGCGGCGGCACGCCGCACGAAAGACAGACACCAATGTGCTGACGTTCTTTTTACACGCGCGTCGCCGTCGCCGTCGCACCTTTTCCGGATTCGAATTTCGTATTCGGTGGTGTTAACACGGCCGGACTCGACAAGCGAGGATTTGTCCGGAGATAAACCCGTCGGATAACGGTTTAGATTTAACATTTTCACTTTTTAACGGTTTAAGACCCAATAAATGTATGCATATCACTAATTTGCGAAAAGAACAACATGGAAAAGTGGTTGGAATTTGTTTTATCATGTTTTTTAGTGTTGTGATGTTTTTTTTACTTGTTATTTTGTCGGTGGCTGGAAACTTTATTTTTACGGCCAAAACTGTTGATTTTTATGAAAAAAATATATTTTACTGCCCTAGGGCTACAAAAATTAAAATATCAAGTCAATTCCCCAATAAAGCAACATATCTTGCTGCCTATATTATTATCAATCAAAAAATACAGTTAAAAACACGGAAATATACAATTTTTACTATTAATGAATAAAATTTAAATAATTATCAAAGTTTTAACAAATAAAAACGTAGAAATCCAATTTATATTACCCACGGGGTAAAAAACTAATTTTTTCGATAAAAATTGTTGATTTTATACAAAAACATACATTTTACTGCCCTAGGACGGCAAAATGTAACAAAAACAAGTCAATTTCCTAGAAAATTTACATTTTTTGCTGCCCTAGGGCTAGAAAATTGTAATCAACCAATAAATTCTTTTAAAAACGCAAAAATATACTATTTTTACTACAAATTAATAAATTTTTAATGATTTTTAATACTTTTAACGAATAAAAACGTAAAATTGTAATTTTTTCATCCTTAAGAATTAAAAATAAAATTTTACTACAAAATGTTACTTTTAAATACCTTAAAACCCAAATAAATATATATGCATATCACCAATTTGCAAATAAAAGAACGTGAAAAAGTGCCTGAAATTTATTTTATCGCGCGTTTTTTAGTGTTGTGTTTTTTTACGTGTCATTCCGCTGGAAGCGTGGTGAAATGCCTTAATTCCTGACAACAAAAGCGCGTTAACGATGCACTAATGCGCGCGCGGAAAACAGCGAAACAGCGCAAAGCCCCTCGCGCTGTTATTGTAACATAATTCTTTAATATCTCCAGCTTATGTTCGCGCGCACGTTCGCCCGCATTTCAGCGCTGTCGCACGTCGAGACTAGAGGTGATCAGTGCGCCCCCGCGCGAAACAAAGCAAACACGCGCCAGAAGAAGAAGAGAAGAAAGAAGAAGCGGTGGATGTGGGGCGGCGTAACGTAAGACAGCGGCGGCGTGTGCGTGTCATTAGGAGTAGCTCAGACACGTATGTACCGGGTCATTAGTTGAAGTATTATGAAGTATTTCCAACCGACGCGGCGGGTATTAAAGCTTTTTGTGCTGGAGGATCTGCTAACATTGGGCTAATGTGTCTGTTTACAAAGTGTTGCGAAGAATAAGGGTATTGCCATCTGATACATGCTAGTTTTTTTCGGAGGTTAGAAAAAATTGGAGTTTATTTGGACTTTTTAAGCTGTGTAAACATACTTTTTCTGCCACTTGTAAGAATATAAGATATTTTTATGCAGAAAATTGTATTTAACGGCCCTAGAGCTGCAAATAATTATTGCTATAGAAATAAGTATTTTTTTGCTTAAAACACAAAAAAATTTGAAAAAATCGAAAAAATTTCAACGTATTGGATGTTTATCTACAAAATGATTTTTTTTTTGTTTTCTACACGTGGTAAACATGCCGTTTGTACGCCCACATATGAAAAGATTTTTATTTTGATGTTTTTTGATCAAAAAGAAATACTTCCGGAGAATATTTCTTAAAATAAATAACATGTTATTGCTGCTTTAGGCATTATTGTTTTTACCCTACTATGAGCGCTTGAAGTTCAAATTTTTTAATGTCCTTGGGCTAGAAATGCGTATACTGTCTGTTAATGCAAAAAATTGAACGTTAAATATTATTGTTTGTTAACAAAACACGCAGTTTAGAAACATAGAATTGCAAATTTACTGCCCTCGGAGCGTAAAACTGAATTTAACGACAAAAATAGTTGATTTTTATAGGAAAAATATGTTCATCGACTACAAAATATAATAAATCAAGTCATTTTTATAGAAATTTGACATATTTTGCTGCCCAATGGTTTAAAAATTATAATTAACCAAAAAATACATTTAAAAACGGGAATATATACTATTTTAACAACTGATGAATAAAATTTGATTGATTATCACTAGTTTTAACAAATAAAAAGAAAGAATTTCAATTTTTACTGCCCACGGAGGAAAAAACTTAATTATCCGATAGAAATTGTACATTTTTATACAAAAACATACATTTACTGCCCTAGGGCTAGAAAATTTAAATCAACAAAAATACTTCATATAAAAATGCGAATATAAACTATTTTTACTAGCGATGAATAAAATTTGAATGATTAACATCAGTTTTAACAAATAAAACGTAGAATTACAATTTTTACTGCCCGCGGGGTGAAAAATTTTAAATTCACTATAGAAGCTGTTAGTTTTTGTACAAAAACATACATTTTACTGCCCTAGGGATACGAAATATCAAAAAATCTAGTCAATTTCCTAGTGAAACAACATTTTTTGTTGCATTAAGGCACAAAAATATTAAAAAAAGCAAGAAATTCAGCTAAAAACACAGAAATAAATTATTTTTACTACCCGTGAATATAATTTAAATAACTCTATTACTAGTTTTTACTAAAAAAAATGTAAAATTACAATTTTTACATCCCTAAATGCAAAAAAACTTAATTTTCCGATCAAAAACCATTGATTTTTATCTAAAAACAAACATTTTACTGCCCTAGGGCTCCAAACACCCCAAAAAATCACCCGAACCCGCTAGTAATTCCCGTTAATCCACTCGTAATCTCATAACGCAAAATGCAGCATCGTCACAATCCCAACAATTTCGCAAATTCACGATGATATTCGTATTGTGTGCATATTTGATGCACATGTCTGTGATTGAAATAATTGATGATATTCAATTATATGGACGCGTGTGTGTTTAATTTTGCATTAATATCAATCGACGGCGGCGGCGGATCCATCGCGCGCAGCTGTCGTCGGCGCGCCGCGTCCGGACATGATCGATGACCAATTCGCCGCACAATACAATGCCGCCGCCGCCGCCGCCGCCCGCTAATGCACTACGCGCGCCCGCGCCGATTTACATTACGGATTTCATTTCGGCGCGCCGCTCGTCCGGCGGTAATTTAAATTGTTTCGTTTGTTTTTGAGCGTGTGCGCGCGCGGGGAATTTGCGACGACCGCAAATGTGCATTTTGTTTGACGCTCCAGCGCACACGGGGTGCGAAAAGTGTTTTGCATTCCGCATTCAAATTCAAATCACGCGCAGCATTTTTTATTAATACCCAATCCGGACGAATTTATTCAACATACGGTATAAATATTTATTTGTTATTGTTTGTTATGTACACAGCATCGGTTATTACAAATTATGTTTCAGTTAACTGCACAAAGCGGCGAAATTTCGATCTAATAAAAACGAAATAATCGACGCACACAAAAATTGCTTTTGTTCCATTTTATTTATTGTGTTTATTTTTACATTAACTTTGTTAAATATCACTGTAGGTATACAATTTCGTTAAATTCCTTTGTTTCTCGCCCAGGACGTAGCTTCTTGCTTGATTACTTACTTCAAAGTTCAAATGCCATCTTTGAAGATACGCGTTTGTGTGAATTGAAGTTAATCCACTTGAAAAGCGATGTATTGCTTGATATCTTCATGTAAAAATGTCAAAAATTTAAAATTTGAGGTTATAATCATCAAATAACCTAAAATCCAAACATTTTTGAGGTTATATAATAAATTACCTGGTAATAAGCTGAAATAATCGTCCTTGACTATCAAAACACCGTAAAATTTGCATTGCGCCAATCATCCCATCGTGTTTTGTTTGCGTAAATCCTCCAGCATACATAAAATATTTAAACGCTAGTTTTAAATTGCCTAAAAATATTTTATAAATTTATTATTTTCATTACACATACAATAAAATTGATTTATATCTCTATAAACCTTGTTTTTGCAGCCGTTGTGCATAAACCTTCGCATATTCATAGTCATGATGATTAATCTCAACGATTTTTTTCAGGAAACGCCCTGTATATCCACTGTAATTCCATTTCGTGTTCAATCTACATAACTCAATAAACGCTGGTTTGAACGTCGCGTCAATTGACAGACACTTTTTCAACATTTTGTACGATTCCTCCGTGTTATTCATCCGGTACATTTTACCAAGGTTATAATGTGCGTTCAGGTGATCTTTGGAGAAACGTATCGCTAATTTAAAATGCATTTCGGCTTCGTGTGGGTCCTTCAATAGTGTGCCTAGGTTGTTATGTGCGCTTGCATATGAAGGCCACAATCTGTAATATAATTAATTCAAGCGATGAATAGTGAGGTGATTTTTATAGTAAACCTTAATGCGGTGTAGTAATGCGCCATTGCTAGTTCGTAATGCGCTGAATCCCGTAGAAAGTTGCCGTAGTTATAATGCATTTTTGCGTTGTGTGGCAACGTTGCAATTCCTGCACGGAGGAGGGATTCGCGTGAAAGCCAGTCGCGATTGCGCACAACGCAGCGGAGGCTTTGACACATGAATAATAGGAGTAGGCAGGAGAAGATTGTCTGTCGCTGGCGATGGTAAACATGCCATAGGTGGCGTATTCCAGTCACAATTAGAAGTATACTTCCCATGCTAAGTTGGTTGCATAACATACAAATACATAGAAATGGTATTTTTAGTTTTAGGAGGTTATAACTGCTTAAAATATTTAAAATTATTTTGTTTTTTTACATTTTTGGATTGTGGGTATATTTAAGTATATCCTGTGAAAATTTCAAGAAAATCCGATTAATAGTTTTCGAATTATTCAACATATTAAGAAAAAAAAAAACGATTTTTTTTGCATTTTTTGAATTTTTTTTTAATGTCAATTTTTTCATTGGAAAACCGCAATTTTGAAAAAAATAAAATGTTTTACTATTCCTCCAATTGATACCAGTACTTTTCCAAAAGCAAACACCGGTATTTTAGAATATAAAAAATTAAACAAAAAAAATTCTAAAAATAGCGCGTAACCTCCAATAACCCCATAACTATTATTATATATACCTTGGTATGTATAAAATGCGTTCGGCGATGACAAATCCCACAGTGACGAACAAATTAGCAGCCGGAACAAACGGAAGTACGAGCATTAGCAGTCCCAGGATAATCGGCGCACTTTCCTGGCTCTGAATATATGACACAACCATACAAACATTCACATGCAATTTATTTCGGAATATGTTATTGCTGGATGTAAAACGATAAAAAATACGCTGGCATACCTCGAAATCTAAAAGACTGCGGGCGAAGAGCAACAGCACGAGGACGAAGCAGAGGCACGTGAGCAGATTGCGCGAGTCCTCCGGCGACGTGACCAGCGGAACGGAGCCCATCTGCCAGTCGTGCGAGAGGGTCGCAGGACACAGCAGGAGCCACCAGTTAAACGCGGCCAGATAGCAGAATGTCATTGTCCTGCCATCACAAAACACAATACAGGCTTAGGCATCAGAATATAGCATAAATATAATTTTTGAATTTTTATTTTTTATTTTTTGCATTCCAGGACTAACCTTACTAATATGCATGGGTGGAACGCAGCGGGATTATCCTGTTCGGAAAACATTGGTAGAGATCCTTGTAGGACGTATAGTCTGAAGGTGATTAATACCCCAAACTAGTAATTAAAACAGAAAAATTAATTTTTTTGTGTTTTTTGAGGTTTTTTTGATAATTTACCGCAATAAAATTGATTAGGGTCCGTTTTGTGAAATTTTTAGTCTCCATTGTCCATTGCACATCGACAAAATCACTAAAAATTAATGAGTATAAACCTAATTCATAAAAATTCGTAAATAATTTTTAAAAATTACTTTTTGAGCCTCGGATAACTCTTATACAAGTCAAAGAAAAAATTGACTAAAAATATCGTAATGCCTGTTTCCTTCGCAAGCATACTCAACCCTCCAAAAATTATACTCTGTGTGTTTCGAGACTGATTATAGTTTAGCAGGGATGCAAGGAAGAGAAGACCTGCAAGCACGTCCGCCCTGCCAACAATTCCAGTTACCTAAAAATTTAATATTGCTTTTTGCGTCTTTTTGGAAGTTTTATTTCTATTTTGTTTTAAAGCTATGAAAGTATTAGGAAAACTTACTGCTTCGGTGTGTACTGGATGCACAGCGAAGAGGAGGCCAGCGACTGTGGCGAACGGCGCTTCTAGGCGTGCCACCTCCAAACATGTTCGCACAAAAAGCGTTGAAGTTATAGAGTGTAAGATTATGTTCGTTAGGTGGAACCAGAACGAATGTAAACCGAACAAGCAAAAGTTTAATCTGAAATAAGCAGTTTTAGGGTTTTTATTTTTGCTGTTTTCTTGGATTATTTTAGGTTTTAAGCAAGATTTATGAGATATATTTATACAGGGTGATGGGTAATTATAGTATGGTCAATTTGAACTATAATTTGTTAATGTACGTTGAATTATTGAAGAGTTTTGACAAAAAAATGAAATTTTTGGAGAAAAAAATGAAAATTTTTGCAAAATTATTAATAAAAATGATAATTATTAGGTCTAGGAAGATGAAAAATTAAATTTAGCATAGTTTGATTTATGATTAATTGAAATAGTGAAAGATAAATATGAAAAAACTTGAAATTTTGGTAAAAAAAAAACATGAAACTTTTGGAAAAATTGAAATTTTGGTTAAATTTTTGCTAAACTCTTCAAAATAATATTTAAAAATACAAAATAAATTAATATAATTATAGATTAATCAATATTTAACTAATCTAACTAAAAATATTAAAAACTCAAAAGATTTTTCTTTGAAATTTAAAAAAAAATCGAAAAAACTATTTTTTTTACCTAAAACTCAACGTAGTTAAAGGCCTATATGATTTGTGACTATGCGGATCAGCCATCGGCGTCCCCCAGAAGTCATTCCGAAAAACATCAAGAATAGGCCTCGCCGCCACCACATCGCCATTGAGCACCACCGCCGGGATGTCATCATGCACAAACTCACCACCGAGTGCGTTCGCATAACAAGCGGCCGCCGCCGTGCCAACGACCACGTAAATTGGCCAAACCGCCGGCTTTTTCATCCCCAACCCACTCACCACCCCCACCCGCTTCACATCACACTTCATTATTAACTAATTAACTAAAAACACAACCGACAATCCTGCAACAAAATAGACGGTATTAATACACACTGAGTTGATGGGCATAATCAAAACCTAACGCAGCGTGTTAACATCGTAGCTGATGTTGGCTCTCAGCATCAGCATGCGCGCCTGTTTGAACAGATGCACTCGGCATTGCAAATAAACGCAAAAGTGTCTAGCGGAGCGACGCGGTACATTATGTATGAACTATGAACCAGCGCTTGCTGAGTCTGCAAACTCTCTCTCTGCCTGAATACCAACACGCGGAGAAAATGAGAGAAAGGCCAAAGCGCAAGTGATCAATCTCTTATGAAAGCAAGACACCAACAAAAACAAACTACAAAAAGCACGCCGACACTCATCCGGACTTGCGAACATAAAAAATGCATTTCGACGTAGATTAATTAGTCAATCACTCAAAACATTTCACCTTTTCGAAAAACAGGAAAGAAATTTAATTAAAGCTTTTAAATATTTTCTTTCAATTCATTTAATGCTTGTGTATAAACTTTATTAATTTCTCAACTATAATAGTCCAGCGGGTTTTTTTGAAGAAGAAGTTAATGTTTGTGACCTAGAATTTTAAGAGAAGGACAATGAAAACTTTTCGCTACGTAGTATCAGGAAGAAAAAGAAAGTTTGGTAAAGCATACAAAACCTCAGGTTTCTTGCGGTCGTTTTTACCGAATAAAAGCTCCGCAGACGGTAAACTCATAATCGAGTGCGTTTTTCATATTCATAATTTTTAATATAAAAAAATGTGCGCGTTTACCGGATGTCTAAATCTTTTTGTTTACTTTTCACATTTCTTTTCATACTGCGCGCTCGTGCTCGTACTTATAAAGTACGCGTATTTAATAATAATAAAATTCATGGAAATTCTTTTTCGTTGAATAAAAATAATTAAATAAATTATTTTAAATATAAAATTACTTTTACTTACTTTAAAATTAAAATAAGTCCATTCGATTGTAATTAAACAATTCTCTATGCACACTTTTTATTTATTTTTATTTAATTTTGTTTGTTTTATTTTTATTTGTTGATTGTTTATAGTAGGTTACTCTGAGTGACTCCACTCATTTTTATTTTTATTCTCGTTTTTAGTGCACATTTGGTGTTATCAAGCGGCCGTGCCGGTGCGCTGTTATCGACTGTCTGGCTCGTTGTGGGAGTCATTCCTAGCGCTCGCCGCCACCGGCTGAGTTTTCGCATTTCACCGCCCCCACCAGCGGCGCAAAAACGAAACGCCATCTGAAAACGTAATTCTTCATCCTGACTATACAACGTATTTCAACATTTTTACATTTGCATTTACATTTATATTTAATTTTTATCTCGTCTCTTTTTTAAATAAATATTAAGTGCGCGCTGGTTTCAAACGCGAGGTTATGTTTTTCTTGTTTACTTTTAAGCAATAATAAACAATTGAGTTAAAATCTTTGGGTTATGAATGAAATACGCTATTTATTGTTATGTTGTGCATGTTTGGTTAATTTAATAGCTACGGGGCGGATTATATGAAACCAAACATACAAATTATACAAAGAGAATTTAATTTGTTATTGTATAAAGGTAATTGATATTAATCTGAATAACTAGCAATGCGTTGTTGCACAAACAAAGTACCACAACCTGTGACATCATAAACATATTTATCGAGTTGTAAATTTTTGAAATAATTGCTGAAATAATTATTTTCGTCATCTTCAGGTAATAATAATCAATTCAATTTTATTTTCAAAAAATGAGACATGCTAAAAATGTTCTACAACCCTCTTCAGATAATTTATATAACTAAAACTAAGAATAAATCTCAATATCAACTTTCATCCCTGATTTTACACCCTTTAAAATATTTGTTTGCAACAAAAAGTAGCCTATTTGCTATTCCTAGCCCCAAAGTGTCTCCATACCAAATTTTATCACAATTAGTTGAATGGTTTGTCCATAAAAGCGTCACAAACATACATTCGCATATATAGCTTCAGTTAAAATGTAATTTTTAAACCTATTGAACTGATTGTATGCAACTATACATACAAATAAATCAAAACAATTATAATTCAATTAAACTCCACTACGTTTTGTTTCAAAATAATTAAAACCAACTTTTTACCAATTCCAATTTGTTAAAAAAAAATAATAATAATACGCCCGTAAATAATAGCTGAAAAGCCCTCGCAGTCACTTTGTTCAATTATGCACATTAATAAATAAGCCGGTATTTACTTAGAGCCCGGCGGTGAGTCGCTCTTCAGACGATTTAATTGATTTAATTGCGTTCGCGATTATGCGTTTCGTTTCCGGCTGCTGCGATCGGAGTTAATTAATGAAAATCTAATCAATTAGAGACGGCGCGATGCGGGAAACAGATGGCCGGGTGCTTCTCGCGTGGCGGTCGCATCGAGAGTGTAACGAAAGGGGTGAAATCGCACCACCCCCCCTTTTGCACCCACCCCGCCGCTAATGCACAGGATCTACAGCATTGCGATAGGAAATGTTACCCGAGGCATTCCCGACGTTAACACCCGCCGAACCCGCTGTCGCAGAGTCACACAACCACAGTCACAGCAGGAATAACTGTCATTCGATTAGGCGTTTCATTCGATTAGTGGTGGCGCACGGTATGATCAGAAAGCATATAATTGAATATAATTGACACAGAGCGAAATGTCGAAAGTGTTTGCCGCCCCACGAAATAAAATTATTGTCAACAATAAAACCTCGCATTATATTATTGACTAGAAGTGTACACACAGTCAAAGTTAAATTTGGGTCTAGTGTGTGTGCGTAACAGCATAAATTAAATTAATTCCTGCCGCCCAGAATATATTTCCGCAGCACCTCGCGCGCGCGGCGTAGAATGTGGGAACGATAACGTGTTCGTCTGTTTGCGCTTGTAATTTAAATTAATAAAACAACGTCGGACCGGTGCGCACACCGGCACAGCGGGCGCGCAGCTTGTCGCCCGGCGCCTCCACCTCGGATCTCTACGGCGAGCCTCAAGAGCTCGGCGCGCGTGTTTGTGCAAGGTGGAAAGGTGAACATTGTACCATTTGCTTGCCGCACCGCTCAAGAGGTAATTAAGTCCTCGGCAAACACGTTAATCCTTGACGATTGCTCCAAATCAAAAGCTCAAGCTTAAAAGCGCGCTGGAATTTCATTTCAGTTGCCATATTCCGGAAAGATGCGGAAATGACACAGAGTCTCGGTTGTGTTTTTTGATAATATGCGTATGTATACAATATAAATTAGTTGGGAATTTAACAAGGAAAAAGCGACACTGTTGCAAAGTTAAGCGCGAGAGAGAGTGGGTTGCTGGTTGCGGATGTGAAATTGTGAACCTCCTCCGCTCCACCTCCGCGCGAACAACGTATAGTGTGCGTTATCTATATCTAACTTTGCGTTTGCTCATTTAGTTTCGTCTTTGTGGAAGGCTAATTCAATTTGGAAGCCGCCGTGCGCCGAAGCCTCGAAGGACGAAATTCTATTTTCTATTTTCCCAACTCGCACCGATAGCGACTGTGCCCGCAATTTACGTGAGCTGCACGCAGAAGTTCATCTTCCGCATCTTCAAAGCTCCCTTATAAGAGCTAAAAAAACAACAACGCAGGAAATAAAAAAATACATCATCATCATCATCGTGTTGCTTCTACAAGCGCTGTATAGGTCTATAGAAATCAATAAAATACGCGTAAAGCATTTTTAAATTTAATCTACATGCGGAATCTATTGATGGGGATTGAGTTACAACTGCAGCGCGCGTTTTTTTTTTCACTCTCTGTGTGTGCAGAAATGCGGAACAAAAGAAATGAATAATGTCAACAAAAGGGCAGTCTGCTGTCCAGTGTCCCGCAGGAGGCCTAAAACATCCCCTCGGACGCATAAATTACAACACAACATGCTCACAGCACGTCAAACATTTTTCAATTTTTAAAATTGTTTGTTTTCACCCGGGAAAATCGGTTGTGAATAAAATTAAACGTACAAGTGCATGGAATATAAACTTGTCAATAAAAGCACTTAAATTAGCAGGTTTGAAAGTAATCGCTGCGTTTGTATTTGTGCGTTTTAATGAGATCGTTGTTGGTGCGCTCCGGGGGGTTGTTGCGTCGTAGAGGTCCGAAGTGGACGGAAGTGAGATCAAGCGTACCTATGCGCCCCGCGTTTTCAGCAGGATTAGCAAAAAACTGCCCCTTTTTTTATCACCGCGTGTTTTACTCGACTTCTGTTTCATCATACTGCGTGTTTTATATTCTTAGTAAGGTAGGCAACCCAATATACATAATATTTACTTTAAAGTGGTTTTTATCTGTTACTACCTGTATAATCGGTGCGAAAAGGATATGCAAGGTCCAGGAAAGCACGCAATATGTTTGTATTAGCCCCGCAGGGTTTTTTATGTCGGACTCAGCTGTGCTCTTTGAAAAAAAAAAGGGATCGAAAAGCAGAGTTTTCGTCAAGGAAGATAAACCAAAAGAGTTTTTCCCGAGTGGCGGCGGCGGCGGTGGCGGAGAGTTTTATACGCGGCGTTATGTTTGGCGCTGTTTAATTTCCGTGCGTTTTATTGCGCGCTCCTGCCGACAATAAAATAACTCTAATTATTCCACGCGCACGCTCGCACTCACGCGCGAATTAAAATTAAATGTATTATAAATTCGCGTCCGATGCTTTTGACTCCCAGGGCCGCCGGATAAAGTTATCAGTTGGTGCATTGCCGGTCCCACGCTGCACAAGAGTGAGTAAATCATGTGATGTGAACGGGGTTGCGATGGAGCGCGACCCAAAACAGTTTCGAACAAAAAGCGTGCGGGAAATTTATCGCCATCGTCCGCCCGGCGGACTATTCAAACACTCTTCGCCGGCGCCGCGCCGCGCGCGTCGCTAATTAATTACTCTCTAATGAATAAAAAATAAATTTTTCATTTTCATCTTACGC